GACTCAATGGCAGCCCAGCTCCAGGTTGAGCTGTTGTTCAGCATCTTAGCTGTGGAGGGCAGTGTCACTGGCCCTCATATGTGGGATCCAAACCAGGGCCCTCTGGCATCCCAAGCCAGTTCTTAACCATCGCGCCGCTCGGCCGGCCCCCTTTCCCATTTCTTTTATTTCCATCTTTTTAAAATTGAAAAATAACATGAAACATTTAATATAGGGTTGTCATCATTTTATTAAATTTTAGCTCTTCTAGACAGGTTATCCTCAGTTTGGTAACTTGAGTCAGTGTTACCCCTCAAAAATAAGGATTGAACAGCTTGCTTTGTAAATTATAATGCTATTTTGGCAAAACGTAATTGTTGGGGCAAAATAGATTAAGAAAACAACGAGGCAATTAGACCTTTGTTGATTTTGCACTTTTAATAATTTCAACCTGTGTATTCTGTTTTAATAATTTCAGAGAGTGTTTTTAGTGACCTTGTGTAATTTGAAAATGTAGCGACTTAGGGCACAGTCATCCATATGTTTTGGTTGTGAGTGACAGAAAACTGACTCCAGGAGTAGTGTTCACTCAGCAGCAGCTGGCTTCACTGCAAACAGGAATCTGTCTCATTCCATGGCTTACTTCTGCTTTCCTCCAAATTGACTTCATTTTTAGAAATGTTGTTACCCCGTAATGGCAAAAAATAGGCACCAGCAACTCCAGGGTTGGCATTTACCCGCCCAGCTCTCACCACCTAGCGGGGGTCCAGGCCTGGACCATGGACTGCCTCTGGACTGAGTGAGAGCAGAAGAAAAACGATTTCCAAAATAAATCTGCCTTGTTGTTATCAAGATTAGGAGCAAGGTATGCTGGGCCTGGTAACTTGGAACACAGGTTGTTAAAAAGAGAAGGCACAACCAGAAGTGCTTTTTGGTGCTGAGACTTAAAGCAAATCTGCTAGCCTGAAAGAACATGTTCAATATTAGCTACCACTGCCTGAGAAAGGAAAGGACCATAATGCACAATTTGTAACTGGGTACCACACACTGTGTCAATTTAAAAAACAATCATAACATTGACAGTTCTCTTAAGTAATTATTACCATTTGGGAGCCCTTCACTGTGTGTCAGCCTCTGTGTGAAGCACTTTCCATATTTCATTTAATTCTTGCAGCAGTTTTGCGGGCCGGGCATTAATACTCCCATTATGCTGATGAAGACACAGAAGCGGAGAGTCTGGACTTGAACCCAGATGTGTCTGACTCACTCCAGCTCCACTATCCCTTAGTTTTACAGTTTGCTTTCGTTAGTCTGTCTATGGAGTTATCCATCCTCCATCCTTTCAGGACAGCTCCTCTTTCAGCATTTTCTAGCAGTTAGCACCCCTTTGCACCCCTTTTGCCTCAGGCACCCATCCAGCCCACCACTAAAGCTTACCAGTTCTGCACCTGCGCATCCCTCCAGTATGGGTCCCCTTCCTCTGCTGTCAGTCCGTCTAGCCTTCAGTACAAAGGGCCTGAACTCACAATAAACTGGATTTGGCCTTCCTCTTTCCAGCCTTAATCTGTCCCACAGAGCAGCCAGATAGGACTTTTACAAAGTATAGACTTGAGCTTATCACCCTGTGTTTACCTGGCCTGCTCACTGCACTTAGGGCGTGATCCTTGCCCTGCCTGCCTCCCAGTCTACCTGTGGAGCTCTTCCTCCCTCTGGCTGTTTTGTTTTTTCCTTTCTCTAACAGTCAGTCTTAGATTTTCCTGCCCCTCCCTCTTCTATTGTGTTTTCCATTCTCACACTTGATCTCTTTAACTCTTACTTCTTCAAGTTCTGTTTAAATGCCACTTCCTTAAATCCTTAGGGACTTCCCTGCCCCTCTCCCCCACCCATTAAATATGAAAATGTGAGATTCTTATCACATCCTTTACTTCTTGCATATACGATGGTCTGTAGTTATGCATTTGCATATGAGTCATTCCCGACTAAGCTGTGCACTCCATGAGGCCTGCAGGGACCAGGTCTGTTTAGTTAATTAACTGCTGGACCTCAGGTGTCCACCGCAGTGCCTGGCATAGTGGGCGTTCAGATGTGTGCTGAACGGATTAACAGCCTAATAACCGAATATGCCCAAAGCAGTGCATTTTAAATGATTACCCTTTCTATAGTTCTCGCATTCTGATTTCATGTATTACTCAGGAGCAAACAAACCTATATGTAGAGCAGTTTCATCCCAGTAGCTTTTGGTTTCCTTAGGCATAAGCCATCCTTCCTTTATTTCTGTTTTCGCAATTCAGGTGCTGGTCAGTGATGCAGTTGGTCTTTAAAACTTCTGTATCAGAGCCAGCCATAATAGAGGAAAATAACTCGATTTTAGAATACGTAATTCCTCTCCATTTGACCTGAGCACGGGTGGGTGGGAGAGGAAGAGAAAAGGCTCTACTGACTGGCTCCTGGTGGTTCCCTGCCCAATGACACAGAAGCTTGAACATTCCTGGACCTCCAGTGTCCAGTCCGCAGAACCCAGGCATCCAGATTTAGCTCTCTGTGCACGTCCTTGTGATTCCTGGCTACCATCCTCGCCCCAAGTGGCTTTGGAAGCAGAAGCTAATCTGCAGTGATGCATTGTTTAAAGCAGCCTTCCCAACCTTTCGGGACACTGGCAATATTTGTATGGCATATGGGAGGCCAGAGACACGGCAGTCTGCCCCAGGTCTGAAAGGATCACTGTCTGCACATGTGGCCTTCCGAAAGGGCACACAGGCCCCTGGCTGGGAAAGCTCTCTCTCCAGCATTATTCCAAGTGTAGCATGGAACCTAACTCCTTTCTCCCTTTTTAATCCACAGTTGGGCATGTTCGGAGTTTGACTTGAATGAGATTCGTCTGATAGTTTACCAGGACTGTGAAAGGAGAGGCCGACAAGTCTTGTTTGATTCCAGAGCTGTTCACAAGATTGAGGAGGCAGCAGCTCAGGTATGAAATCCCTATTTGCTTTCAGCTTGTTTGTTTGTGCTTTTTAGCCACCTGTCTGGCCAATCATTTATTAAACTGTAACCGTCACTTGTATACTCCCCCACCCCAGCTGCATTTGTATTCTTATTAATATGCACAAGTGAAACTGTTAGCGAATAATCATGACACATGCTGCACAGTGTACTGTAAATATCACTAGAGGTGAATTTGTGGGTGAGTTACAATCTAGTAGGATTTTGATGCCAAATATGTGCCAGGTAATGGGAAACCTGAGAACTCTAACAATCATAAAGTGTTAGTTTGAAGGGAAGTTAATAGATGATTCTGTCTAGTGTGTCTCATAGATGGTATTAAGAGCTCTGGGTTAAACAAAATCAGCTTGCTTTCCCCGCTCCAGGAATTCAGTATGCTAGCATGCATTGTCATCTACACAACTAAGATGAAAGGACAACAACTTGGCTGTTCCCCTTCCCCAGTTCCCCAACACTGTTCCCCTTCCCCAATTCCCCAATAAAATAAAATAAATAAATAAAAAGAAAAGAAAAAACGAATGCTTCTGAAACCTGTCTGACCACAGAAGCTTTTCTTTCTCTCCTTTGCTTAGTGGAAGGCAGGGTGGTGGAGGTGTTGTGGGGTGCAGTGGCGGGGGTGGATTGCTGGGGAGGGTAAAGTGAGGACATAGCAGCTCCTGATCCCTTGGAGCCAAGAATGGGTCCAGTTATGTGTCCGGAGGAGAAGAGGGTCTGGTCCTCCCCGAGTCTTCTGGACAGCAGGCCAGGAGGTCTGTCACCTTTAGACCTCTCATTCTCTTTGCAGTAGTTATTCAGCTGTCTGCAAATTAAATCAATCCATTTGTATTCATTCTTATCATGTTCAATAACTTGCTAACTATACTGACTGAATTCTGGCAGTTTACAGAATGTGTAGCTAAGTAAAGAAATCGTCTATATCAGTCTTTGTCTCATCAGGGCCAAGGGGCTGTTTTCCTGCTTTTGATAAGGATTGTTTCTGCAGGAAGGAAGTGTTTGCTTCAAGGCAGTTTAGCTGGGTGGATTCCATAGTGCTTTAAAGTGGAAGTCTGCCAGGTAGCTAATCATTACAGCAGTTGTTGGGCTTGTTGGGTAGGTTGGAGTGTGTGGGGGGGAGTGGGGTGATGGGACTTGAAATCTCTCAGGTGAGTCACCTGTAGGCTTTAATGGTAGATTTGTATCAAAGTTGAGGTGAGCCAGCACTTGACCCTTTGTTTGGTGGACAGGACACGGTTCCCTGATTTCCCACATCATGTCCTCCCCCGAAGGCCGTGCACAGATGGCTTAGTGGCACACCCTCACTCCATCAGCAGGGCTCCTGATGCTGCTAACAGGTGGAGGGAAAAAATCCTCACCGGTTTTCAAACAGCAGCTGGAGTCTTCAGTACATGGGAGTAGTGATGACCCTGGAGTCTGGGACGTAAGTTTCTCGGAAGCACTTGTTTAATCAAAAAGGCCTCCAGGTCCAGGGAGGTTTGTAACGTGCCCAGAGCTACAGAAAGAGTCCAGCTAGGGCTCTCCTCCCGGTGCCAGGTGCTATCTCCAATTATAGACTGCTGAGAATGGTGTACCCCAGCCAGAGGGGCTAACAGTCTGAGAGGCAGGTGTGGGCCTCGTGTCACTTTAGGCCCTCTGAGGAGCTGTGTTTCGGGCTTAAGTGGTGTTAAGTAACAGCTAGAGCTGAAGAGGGTGTTGAGGGAGTGCCAGCTGCTCGGGAATAACCAAGTACAGCTTTGCACGCCATCACTGCTGGGGTGGCTGTTAGGGACCAGCGCAGTTTGTGTTGTCCTTACACTCTTCCCATTTTCAGCCCCCTACCCCCCGGCAAGCACAAAATGTCATGAGTTTGTATCCAACACATGACTGCAGCCATTTACATTAGACCAACAGTGTGACTGTCACACTGGAGATTAGATAAGCTGCAGTTGCATTCATGGTTTTCCAAGCAAAAGCTGCACCCAAGTAAGACTTGCAATAGCAACAACTTACCATAGAGGGCACAGGATGTTTGTGTACGGAGTAACATAGTTTGGTGTAGGAGGAAGGGAAAAAGTAATAAAGGTGTGCCTTTATGTCATACAAATTAGTAGTGACTCTGTTTAGGGAACATATAGTAGATAATCCTCTATTACCCGTAACCTTTAAAGACTGAATTTCCATCACATGCTGTGTAATTTGCAGTAGCTCCAGTTTCAGTTTTAGCTTCATCTTTCATAAGCTTAACCTCATGATTTTCATTCCTGGTACCTTTAAAGGAATCCTGAAGCAGGTGTGTCATTAAACTCACAAGCTCAGTCTTTTCAAATTCATAGTTTTGCTTTCTTAGTTCTGTTTGCTTGGTAAAACTTTAAATTTAAAGCCATGTCTTTCTCATTGATTTTATATATTATGACTCTATATAGTACTAAAAATCCTCTAGTAATGAAAACAGAAATTAGAGCTCATTGATGGTTTTAAAATATGAGTTAAAATGTGAATAATAGTTCAAATATGCATAACAGTTGCATTATTTAAGAAGAGTAAAGTCTTAACATGTAGCCCATTACCCTCTGCCTAGCAACCTTCTTCCACAGTCCCCCTCTTCCCAAATGTTATAGACTCATGAACCACATTTTTGTCCTCATTAAAAAAAAAAAAGAAATAGAAGCTTCTGGTTTTCTACGCGACTTCTATGCAACTTAGGCACAACATAACAGAATGTTTTAACAAAGGAATTCCCAGTGAGGAACGTGTTGAGAAAGCCTGGTGTACTTAGCAATGCTTATCTCGCCTGTCTCTCTTAACCAGAAAACGGAGGATGTCCCTATTAAAACGTCAGCCAAGTGCTGTCAGGGAAGCAGCAGCGGAAGCATCAGCAGCAGCAGCAGCAGCATATCTTCCCATAGTTCCTCTGGGGGGTCGTTACCACATGCTAAGGAGCAGCTTCCCAAGTACCAGGTAAACCCCCCTTCTGTGTGGGATACCCCAGGGGCTGGAGTCACATACTCTGCTTTCTCCACAGGGAGTAATGCTTGCAGGAAGGCTCTACTCCAGGGATATGAGAAAAGTCTCACAAAATGTGCACTTACATGTTCCATGTCCGTGCTATTCTCACAGTGTGGCTTTTAGCTCTTGATAAAGACATAATCAGACAGAGATAATCCAGTATACTATATACTGAATGAGGGAGAAATATTGCAAATGAGGTAAACCCTCTTGTTTTGCTTCCTTTATTGTCAGAAGCAGATTAATAAACATGTATTTTTCAGTTTTACTATAAACAGGTATTTTTCAGTTTTGTTGTAAGGAACTTTAAAGATTCTAGGAATGTATATGGGCATCCTAAGAAAAGAGCACTTGCCAGTAGAAGGAAGAAAGCCTTGTATAGGAGAAGAAATAAGTGGCAAGACCTAACTTGAATGTGAAGGATAGAGGGCTGGTAGCATTTTTTATGCCGTGTGTGTGTGTGTGTGTGTGTGTGTGTGTGTGTGTGTGTGTCAGTAGAGCATAGGGATTGGGGTTGTTGAGAAATATTGCCTAACTACGAGTAGATATAAGGGAAGACATGTTTCATAAATATTGAATAGCAGAAGGGTATTAATTGACAGAGGATATGTTTTTTTGGACCCATGTAGAATTTTGTCTGTCATGTTGCTGGAAGAGCAAAGACAGGGAAATTACCAGCAGCCATAGGTCTATAGAACTTTGTTAATTTCATGGTCAAATTTTGTGCCATGTGTGTAAGTTTGCCCTTATTTCACAGTGCTCCTGGATCTCAAAGCAGTTTGTGGTTAAAAAAACATAGAGTGAAATTTTCAGCTAGCTGAGAATCACAGTTGGTGTGTGGACCGTGTACCCCATGAAAAGCCAGAATATAAAATGGAGGTGGTGGGTGGAAGTGATTAATAAAGAATGTGAGAGCCGGTTGCTTTCTGTCTGCACGTAGTGGGAGGTTAGTGTGAGCTGTAAGCAGAGAGGATCCTAGTTGGACAGGGTGATGGATTCATGTTTCTTTCCTGCTCTACCAACATGTATAGATAGGTGTGTCTGTGTTTTGTATGCCTGTGTGTATTTGGAGTTAAAAAAAGATGGAGAAGAAAGTGTTAAGGATGATTCCCATGTTTTTGCTTGGGTGGAAAGCATGTGAGCAGAGACTCTGGCTGGTGGGCTGGGTCACAGAGAGACGGCTGTTTTGTTTTGGTCAACCAATGTGGGGGTGTATTTTTCCTGTCCATCAGTGTGTCACCAGCCCTTAGAATAGGTGTGTAGAATCCTATAGCCAGTGCATTCATTCACATATCATATGTTCATAATATTCATATGTGAGGATATGTGAATGGATGCATTTGTATATAGGGTTCTAGGAGAGGTCTGGGCCTAGAAATAAAGATGGGGGGGGGGTTATTTCTATGTAAAGAATCATCAAAATCACAAGAATAGTTGAGAATGCAGACAGTGAGGAGGATGGCTCCCTGAGGAACACCCCTGTTTAAGGGATGATCTGGGAAAGAAGAGCTTCAAAAGGAGTTATGAAGAGCGTCAGGTACCATGAGAGACGTTTCAGAAAGCAAACTGGGAAGCGTCCTTTGAATTGGACCGGAAGGCAGAGGTCATCACTGGAGCAGTTTGAATAGAGGCTGCTGCAGCAAGTTAACAAGAAAACGAGAGCGAGGAAAGTGGCAGCAGCATAGGCCACCCTTTCGGATGACGAAAGGACTGAGAAAAACGGGTCAGGAACTAGAGGAGTCAAATATGTAAAAAGCATTTTTGCAAAACTTTAGAGGTACCAGACCATCAGTTATCTTTTGGACCCTCACAAAACCCTGCCTCCACCAAATGGCATTTTTGTTCAACACTGATCATTATGTGGTTGAATAATATTGAACCGTTTTATATGTATATATATATTTTTTTCCTTTCCAGATGTGTTCTTAGTACCAAGAAAAGAGTTACCCTGCTTTTTCATAACTTAATCTTTCTATTTAGAGTTTATAAATGGAGATAATGAAAATATTTGTATCTCATAACAATAAAATAACATAAAAGTGAACTCTGGTAAAACACTTGGATTCTGTTTAAAGACAATGTGCATAAAGAAGAAGTGGTGAACATTAGTCATAACTGGGGGGAAAGTAGGCAATCACCATTATAGATTAAGATGGTAAAATGATCCATTGTTGCTTTGAGAAATAGTTTTAATTACCCAGTAAACTAAACTAAAGAGAGAGCCCCAGAGGTTAATAAGCATTATTTCCTGGGCCGGCCGAGTGGCGCATTGGTTAAGAACTGGCTTGGGACGCCAGAGGGCCCCGGTTCAGATCCCACATATGATGGCCAGTGACACTGCCCTCTACAGCTAAGATGCTGAACAACAGTTCAACCTGGAGCTGGGCTGCCGTGAGTCGCAGGTGACAGCGTAGACTGCAACCCCTGTGGCAGTGGGTTGCCATGGGCTACCATGTGTAGCCAGCAGCCAGCGTGAGCAGTCAGCAGCCGCCATGAGCGGCTGTCCAGAAGCTGGCGACTGATCTGCCTCATCTGGGAAGAGCGCGATGATGGTGCCAACTTGGGCCAGTGGGGCAACATCCTCCACAACTAGACTGAGGAACGAAACGACAGCAACTTGTCTGTTCCCCTCCCCCAATTCCCCAGCGCTGTTCCACTTCCCCAATTCCCCAATAAAATCTTTAAAAAAAAAAAAAAGTATTATTTCCTGTTGCATTGCACATCATATTGCCCCTCATGCTAACTCTGATTTCGGTGTCTTTCACGCGTGGTAGTACACGAGACCAGCTTCTGATGTCAACATGCTCGGGGAAATGATGTTTGGCTCAGTGGCAATGAGTTACCAAGGCTCCACTTTAAAGATACACTATATACGGTGAGTTTGGGCTTCTTTTTCTACGAGTTGTGAGAAGTGGACTGGTGGCACTGACTTCTTACTTCAAAAATGCATTTCTCCCTCTTTCTTTTTCCTCCAGTTCTCCTCCACAACTGATGATCAGTAAAGTCTTCTCTGCTAGAATGGGCAGCTTCTGTGGGAGTACAAATAAGTAAGTGTGGGATTTTGCACCCTCCCCCATTTTTTTGGTGGCTATTTCTGGGTACAGTAATTCTGTGAGGGCTATAATTCATTTTGAAATGAGAAGCAGGGTGAGTCCACATTAACAAAGGGATCTTAAAAGTGGCCATTTTCTTACAGAGTGAGCATGAAAAGGCCTTTTGGCTTTTATCAGGTGGCTTTAAAGTCAAATGACTGTTTCTCTTCATCTTTTGGGTCTTCATCCGTTACCCACTGTGTTCCTAAGGCCATCGCCAAGTTTTCATTCCTTCAAAATGAAAAGTTAAGGGAAAAAAGGAGGGACCGTATGAATGAGTGTATGGTATTTACCAATATTATTTTATTGTCTAAAAAAAAAAGTGAAAATTTATTTGTTAGTGCGTTTGTTTATTTATTTCTAAAGTAATGAAGTAGATAGTGGTTTTTTCCAGGCTGCTGAGGACCTATATGGCAAGATGGACTGTCTGTGCTTGCCATCTCTTCAGCTGTCAGCGTAGCCTCTATGATCGGTTGGTACTTAGGCCATGCCATATTTTGGTTTTCACTCTTGAGTTTTTTTCTGACTCTAATTTTATACCTCTGTGGAGACTAAGAATACTGAAGTGTCTAATTTAACTCTCATTCTGGTACATTTGTTCATATATTTTGAACTTTGCAAGCAGCACTATTTTGTATATTTCTTTTTTGAACAGAATAACAAAACATTTGTTATACTTTAGTAAGTTTGAAAAAAGATTTGTAATAAAGGGCATTCTTAGGGGTCAAATGAAGGCTGTTGTTTTTTATAATCTTGAGAAATTAAACATATATTACATATATTTGTTTGTAGATTTGGATGCCATTATGTAAGTCTGCTTATGCTTCAACAAAAGAATGAGTTTACTGTTTGAGCATTTACCATTGGACTGTCATGACTTAAGCCAGTATGGAAAGTGATGTTTATTTCTTATGAGAGATTCTTTTTTAGACTCTTGATATTACCTGAACATTTATTATACTAAACTAACTCCCTGTAATAGAATGTTGAGCTCAGAATTCACTGAAAATCATTTTGGCCTCATTCTGTATTATTATGAAAATCTTGATATTATTTTACTTGGTAATAAATACAATCTATTATTAAAACCTGCTTCCCTCACATTTGTGTTGATGAGTAATTCTAACTTTAGATGTTTTAAACTCAAACTCCTGTAGGAATCATTAATTTCTGTTATATCCTCCTCCTGAAAAAAGTTTCTCATAGATGCTAACTAAGAGTTCATAATAATTTCATTTTCAAGGTTTATGTAAAATTATCTTTGAAATTAATAGTAACATCTTGGGTGTCAGTCACTAAAACAAAATTTAGAAATGAAGGGTAATATCTTAGTTGTCAATGACTGAATCAAAATTTAGAGAGGTTGGTGTTACATTATGTAATGTAAAACTGTTAGGAATGCATTTAGTTTTATAGGGTGGACCACCTCAAAGAGCTTTCCTTGTATTTTCCTCCAACAAATTCCCCTAAAGTGTAATTCCCTTAGGTAGATGTGAGACTTTATTCATTTATAAAGAAAAGTCTGAGCAACTGCTAAGTTGTCTATATTTGAGAGTCTGCTAGAAGACAGCTTTATTCATCTCTTCACATTTTTCTCCTCTCTCTCCCTCCCTTCCCCTGTCTGCTTTAGCTTGCAAGACAGCTTTGAATACATCAACCAAGATCCCAATTTGGGAAAACTGAACACAAATCAGAATAATTTGGGTCCTGGTCGTACCGGAAGTAACCTAGGTAAAATCAGCCCCATGAATGTGTTCTTTCTTCCTGAATAACACCGTTGTGGGTGTGTGTTTTGCTTTATTTGAGTTTGTGTGTGTGTGTGTGTGTGTGTGTGTGTGTGTTTGCATTATCTTTAATCCATGTTTATTTTTTGTGTGTCCTTTGTGTGTCGTCCTCTGTGTGTGTCTGCCCCTAGGTCTGTTGCAGGCATGCAGCAGCAAGCTGCTGCAGGGGCTGGCAGAAGGAGGACCTCTCCGGCTCACCCGGAGTGCTTCTTTCTTTGCAGGTTTGTGTGGAATGCTGAGTACAGTGTGACCCACACATGAATTAATAAATCCTGTGCAGGTTCTTAAAAAAATCTTATTGAGTGCCTCTCTAGAAATCCAAGGGGCTCTTGAGATATTAGTTTCAAATGCAGCCAAGTTCATGGTGTTTTGAAAATTCCACCAGCGAACCTCCATTGTAAATGTCTTTGATAATAAATACCCCAGGGTAAGCTGATTTTGGTCTGAAATGAGCCCTTCGTGTTTCTAAGAGGATTATATTTCCTGATTTTCCTGGGCCATTTCTGCTGCTATGACCTTTTCTCTTTGCCATGGTATCTTCTATCCATTTATTCACCTGCATCCTACCCACAGCCCACAGCGTGTCTGCAAAAGCCACTCTAATAAGAGCATGGAAAACATCTCTCTCTCTCTCTCTCTCTTTCTCTCTCTCTCTCTCTCTCTCTCTCTCTCTCTCTCACATTTAAGTAGTGTAAATGCAGCTTCTAGATTCTTTACAGGTATAATCATTTCGGTCTCTCTGGGTAGGTCAAGTCTGAGCTGTAATTGGCCTTGCTGGCTGAGGCTGTTGAATGTCTGTTGGAGTCTGGCCTGATTAACAACTGTGGGAACCTTCATTACTAACATTAAAGGCTGTGTTTCTGGGAAATGGGTTTCTGTCCATTGTAGTCTGAAATATACTAAGCACCACAGCTAGCTGACACCCTAATGAAACTGATACTGTCCCACCTGCTTAGAGTGAGGATAATGTGTTTATGCACTCTCTTTAACATTGTGAGAATACACATGATTCAAAAAATAGCTGGCAAGTATAATAATCAGGTAGGGCCATGGGCTTCCGGCTTACTGTAGCAGCATGTCATCCCTCCTCTAGCTCACTAAGTGTACAGTTGAGATGGATCTGAAACATTCCTAGAAGTCTGTAATACTTTAGAGTGTTGTCTCAAATTCATGCCGGGACATGAGTTTTTGAAGTAACTGCAATAGTACTGTGCATGGGTGTGTATGGAAAAGGCATGGAGAGAGAAATATTTGAAAATGAATATAAGTGTTTTCTATCTGCCAAGAGAGTGGGTTATAAACAGAGAAGCATTTTTTAAATTTATGAAATGGTTTTCAAGTATTTCTCTTCACTGAGTTGCCTCTAGTTACTACTGAAACTGATTATAAAGCATTTTGAAAATGCGGTGCTATTTAAATACTACTAATAATGAGGAAAATGGCTAAAAGCACCTTCCTGAGAATGTTTGCTCATTGTATCAACTGATGACTAGTTGATGATTCGATTTTTTAGAGATGAGCATCACTCAGAAAAGTTTACATGCTACAACTATAGTAGGATGGTTAAGGCAGATAGTTACTCGATTCTATTTGCTTCTTACTCTCACCATCGTCTTTATGTATTTCATTTTGATTTCTACTTAATCTCTATATGAGCTTATGCGAATCATCAGTAGCAGTAGCCTATTTGCAACGTACAAATTATTGTAGTCTTTTTTTTCTTTTTTTACACAACTCCTTGTTTGAAAAGCCCAATAACATGGTTTCCCTTTGTCTTTATCTTAGCACACAGCACTCCAGTTGACATGCCAAGCAGAGGACAAAATGAAGACAGGGACAGTGGCATCGCTCGATCAGGTATTTGTACTTCCTTTGAATTGGTTTAGCTCTCGAGTGAACTGTCCATAATGGTGAAGTAATTGGGAGAATATAAGTTAGGCCTCAGCTCCTGGCGGGGCTTTTCCTTCTCCATATTCTAAGATAGTGTCATATGTCTGAATCTGTAGAAATCTGATGTACAGTATCTAGGAGTGATTGTGCAACACAGACGGACTAGTTTTTTTTCTAACACCCAAACTCGAATGAGACAAATGCATTTTGAGAAATTTCTTCTTAGAGGGAGGCTTCCTTGAGCCAATTTTACTCTGATAATTTGCTTGCTGAGTACTGAGTATAAAGTCGGAGGCAGGAAAGTGTCCGTGGAAGTCAGTCTGTCCGTGACTGAGGGAGGGCCTGCTGCTGACTTGGTCACCCTTTCTTCTGTCCTAGATCATGCCACTCCAGATTGTATCTCAGGTACCCCTTCTCTCCTTAGTTTAAGACTTGTACTTTTATAATCCTGCTTTTAGGATCTCTTGGTTTCTGCTTTAGTACATGATTCTGCCATTGATTTTTGATTTGTGGTCCCTATTTGAGGCAGGTTCTGTGCTGTGAAAGAAAGGTAGTGAACTAAAGACCTGGACTATGAGGACGTGGAGATGAGTGGGGCTTTGTCTGATGAACACATACGCACAGCCTCTTTCTTCCATGGAAGATGAGGAGCACCCTGTTGGTGTCCTCAGCGAGACGTGCCGCCCTCCCCCAGCAGGCCAGCCAGTCAGGGCTCGGATGTGCTGGGACTCGACCCAGGCTTCAGGGGTCTCTCCTTCTGACCTTCCACTCATCCCTGTTTCCAGCTCTTTCCTTTAGAAACAGCTTAAAGGAGCCCTTGTGTTCCTTTGTAGTACCAGAGCCTTTCTCCCTACTTGGTACAACTTTGCTCCCAAGTTATTAAATGTAATTTGTTACCAAATCCCTGTTTGGTTTACATATGTCCGTAAGTAAAGTTTGCAGCATTTTATTTATGGTTAAATAATAGTGGAGCCACTTTGGTCTACTTAAACTATTTGGAATTTTTCTGCATAGGAGATTTGTCTCTTCTCCCTTGTTCACTCATTCATTCATTCATTCATTCATTCATATCAATATGGATTCATATATATGTATTTTATATTTTGGGTTATAACCCAGTGCTACTTTATTTAGTTGCTCACATTGTTTCAGCTTTGGCCATGGAAGCCATGGAGCTCTTCCATGTGGCTCCTGTTTCGTTAACATATCCACGTCAGAGAGTGTGTGTGTGTTTTGAATACTTCCTTACTTTCTGAGACTACCAGATGCTCCAGACTTGTTTGTATATTTCCTACCCACCCCCTCACCCCACGAATCAGCCATTTCTTGTCCTTTCACTGGAGAATGGTATTAGATTCCACGGTCTGGATACTATAGAGTGTCATTTCTTATACCCTCTCAGTTGACAAGCAAAAAAATATGAGCTTATGCTTACTGTATGTATACATATACATATAAATATTTGCTATGTGTAACATCTGTATCTATATTAAGTTAAACATGAGTTTGTACTGATATCTGCATTATTCATAACCCATTACCACATGGATCATTCTGCCTTCCTCCCCTTGCTTATCTGTAAATTCTCGCTCCAGCCATGAGAAGGCTGACTCTCACTATTTGCCATCCATTTAATTATTTTACATATATAAAATAATTATATATGTGTATCACTTTTCCGAGTTGTTACCCTGTACCCATATAGGAAACAACTTCATTAACTAGAGTACAGGGTAATTCTTTTTACCTTTAATCTTACACACGTTCACTCTTTTCCAAAGTTACCTAGGTCAGCCCCGTTTAAGATGGGGGGACTTTTGGGCCAGCCGAGTGGCGCCTTGGTTGAGAGCTGGCTTGGGACGCCAGAGGGCCCCGGTTCGGATCCCACATATGAGGGCCAGTGACACTGCCCTCTACAGCTAAGATGCTGAACAACAGCTCAACCTGGAGCTGGGCTGCCATGAGTCGCTGGCAACAGCGTTGCCATGGGCTACCGTGTGAGCCAGCAGCTGCCGTGAGCGGCCATCCAGAAGCCAGCGACTGATGTGCCTCGCCTGGGAAGAGTGCAATGATGGTGCCAACTTGGGCCAGTGAAGCAATGTCCTCCACAGCTAGACTGAGGAACGAAAGAACAGCAACTTGTCTGTTCCCCTTCCCCAATTCCCCAATAAAAATCTTAAAAAAAAAAAAAAAGATGGGATTTTTGTAGTTATATATACCAGGCCAGTAGGATATCTAAAATCACACCAGTTCATCTTGCAACTGGCTTCATGAGTGCTCCAAGAAATTCTGATTATCACAAGTTAGGGCTGAAGAATAATTTAAGGTTCTTTTTGTTTTTTTCATTAGTCCAGTAAAGAAGTAACTGTAGAAATGCTTTTTGTGTGCTTGCTTGTTTTTGAAATCTTGTTTATAGAGAGAAACCTGTTCCAAGATAAAAAAAATTAAAGGAGATTTTGCAATTCTCCAGCAAAAGGAAACCTGATGTCCTTTGTCCTCTGCCATCAGTCCCTTTCTAAGCATTCCCTCCTGCAGGCAGCCTTCAAAGGAAGGAATGGATGGAGGAGCTTATTTCACGTTCAGCAGCCAACTTGTTCTGTGCGTAGCATTCTCTGGGACTAAAAAGAGCCACGTGGTTTTGAATTCTTAAAGGGGTTGAAGCATTGTTAGAGAACTAAGTTATTTTGGTGGTTTCCACAGGAAGACCAATTTGATATAGTTGAAATTGAGGGGAGGAGTTAGAAAGGTGGCACTGCTTCCTGACTAGCCAGCCATCAAGCCACATTTATTCATCGAAGAACGATTTTCTAGCCCCCTGTATTGTTAGGCTCTACCAGAATTTGGTGTGTTTTTCAAGAAGAGTAAAGTATAGCATGTGCCCCCAGGAAGAGTTTCATGTAAACTGAGAGTTAAGATCAGTTTGATAAGTGCTACCCCATAAACTACTGTGGGAACAAAGAAGAAGAGTAAGGACCTTTGCCTGGGAAGCCAGAGTGATGGCCTCGTAGAAGAGGTGATAGTTGAGTGACACCTTGTAGGTAGGAAAGAACTGCATCGGAGTTTAGGAAAAGAGCATTTCTGAAAACGGTGTGTGCAAGGGTGTAGCTCCTTGAGTGCACTGGTAGAATGTTGAAACAATGGCAGGACTGGAACATTAATCGGGTTGGCAGTGTGAGGGGATGTCAGAAGGTAAGGCTGGTTAGGAAGACTGATTTTAAATGGCGCCAGTGCCGTGCTAAGGAATTGGATTTTATCTTGTTAGTTGGGCAGCTAAGGGACATAAATTCATTAGCTCTGTATTTTAGATCCATGCGATGTTTCATAAATTCTCCTCCAAAAAAACCCAGACACATATATTCATTGCTAAAGTAGATTAATGGTGATACTTTCTACTTTACCAAGGGTGAAGGAGCTAGGGGAGGTGGGCAGTAGATTTTTCCCATTAATTTTATTTTAATATAATTTCCCCAAACTTTTGAGGCTTCTCACCCATATGTGTGTGTGTGTGTGTGTGTGTGTATAAAACAAACATAAAATGATTATCTGACTTAGCTTAAAATTTTGAAAAATAGTCCATTGTTTTTTCCTCTTCCTCTTTTTGGAATAGTGTCTTAGGAAAATATCCAGCTTTTTTCCTGAGTTATTCAGTAGCTTTTTGTAATAACAGAGGAAAGAAAATCTTAATTGTGATTTGGTCTTACTCCTCTTCATATGTACTCTAATGCCTCTGTGCATAGTTTTTAACATATATACACATACACAGAATAAGAAATAGAACGGGGGTGACCGGTTAGCTCAGTTGGTTAGAGCATGATGCTGATAACAGCAAGGTTGCTGGTTCCATCCCCGCATGGGCTACTGTGAGCTGTGCCCTCCCTAAAAGAGTCAGCTATGCCATTATAGCATGAAAGCAATGTGTAACCATTGACCATGGCTGTTCCCCAACAAAATTAAACAAATAAACAAAAAAAGCGATAAATCAACTTAACTAGTTAGAAAGACGACTTTTTTAATGAAACTTTTTCAGTAAAGAAACAAACTAAATCAGCTCAAAATGTTATTTACGTTGTACTATTAGCAGTTTACTCAAACGTCTTTGCCTTACTCCCTGGATTTTGGGAATGTATTAAGGAACTCAAGTGAGAAATATATATACATTTTAATCAGAATTTAATATTCATACAGTTTTACTCATAACAAATTTGAGAACCATTTTTCTAGTGTCATTGCGGAAGATGAGAGGTAGAAGTAGGAGACAAGATGATGTATTGTTGCTTAACAAAAGATTGCAAGTGACCCAATGTGCATCACTACGGACTGGTTAAATTGCGTACTTCCTGGGAAAGGAATGTCATGTGGCAGTGAAAGGATTGAGGCAGTTGGCAGGTCTCAAAGATGAGATACATATTTTAAGTGAAAAAACAAAGGTGTATCAACAGCGTGTTACAGGGAACTATCATTTATGTCTCAAAGAAAGGTATAGTCGAGCTCTCCCTCTACATATAAAGATAGATAAGTATACTCATATGCTGGCTGCGGAAGGGGTACAAGCTGGGACAGGCATGGAGGGAAAATGCCTTCTCATGATATCCTCTTTGGAATATTTTGAGCACGTCCTCTGTGCATATATAAACCAAAAAGGTAAATTATTTTTAAGAGGGTCTTTCAGTGGTTGCAATTAGGAAATTTCAAGTAAAGTCTTGGGAAAGAAGAGGGATGAATTCAGCTACTAGGAGGCTGTGCTAGCAGGTATCTGTGACTGATGGGACATGCGAGATGGGGAGAGGGAGGAACCAAGGGCGATTCTCCCGTGTCTAACTTGAGAAAACAAGTGGAGGATGAAGGCGTTCACCAGTATAGGGAACGCAGCAGGCCAGTCTGGGGAGACAGATGTTGAGATGATTTTTTAGTAGCAGTATCTGTAAGTTCTCCAGCTATAAGTAGTAAACTGTAATTTAGAAATAGGAACCTGGCCCTAAATAGATGGATTGGAACAGAAGCTAAACATTGGAAATCTTGGGTGCACAAGTGGAGTAAGGTTCAGAGGGTCAGGACTGAGAGCAGAGTCACTGAGCCTTGTGAATCTGTCACCCTAATTCAGGTTTCGATTCTCTTTCTTAAAATATCCAAATCATTAACAAGAACAATGACTTCTTCATTCTCTGTAAAACTGCATTTCCTCTGTTCTTAAACAGTAAAATAAGTAGAAGATCGTTATGAGGTCAACTTCCAATATGTACTTTCAGACATTTTCACTTGAGTGTTTTAAAAGCACCCATCAGGGCAAGAATACACATCATCATAGATGTTAAATAGGACATGTGTTATGGCCACTATGCAGATACGGGATGGACCCCACAGTCAAGACCTGCTTTGGATGTCAAGACTGATGACATTCCACGTACACCGAAAAGATATGAAGGCATAATGAAACTTTCTGTTGAGAGCAGTGTAGGCTTCCTGAGCTGCCAGAAGATGACCTGAGAGAAAGGGAAAGACTGATTTGGTTTTTTATGTAGGGCCAAGGTGAGGGGTCCCGCCCGTGGTGTGAACTTGCCGCTGGCCACAAGGAGGGAGCACCAAGGCTTTCTCTCAGCTTGTCCAGATATGGGGCAGAACACGAAGGGTGGTGGGTGACGCTTAAAAGCTATCGACAGTCAAACATCAAAAAACGGAGTCAGACCCTATTACCACATGGGTCACCATTGAACAATCCAAAATGGCATCCCATTTGTACTTGAACCCTTCATTGACTTACCTGATACAGTGCTTTGTAGAGTGGTGCAGGAGTCAAGGAGTGGACTGTTTTGTTTAAAAGGCTGTGGCACTCTGTTGACCTTGCATGTATCCATTCGGCAAATGCTTGAACTACCGCTTATCAGTCTCGGTGGTACAACCTGTGCTCCTCAGGGAACACGAGAGAATGCGAGGCCTCTGCGGAGCTACCGGGAGGTCGTCTCCTGCTCACTTCTCTGTCTGTCCTGGGAAGTCGTCATGAGGCAGTTTCTCATCACCTCCTGGGCTCTGATGACCTGTGAAGCTTTCCACCCTGCCCCCCTTAGACTAGAGCTGCAGGATATGAAACTGCTTAGCTGGAGTCTAGAACTGGCTCCCCAGCCACAGGGGCTCCCCCAACTTGTGTTGCAGGCGTCTGACCCCTGTGGTGTCAGTGCTGCCCGTTTTGGTGTGTGGGACAAGGACGACTGGGAGCTGGCACCTGAGGCTTATTCTTCTTTTTCCTGCCTGTGAAAGGAATCAGCTGCCCAAATGTTAACCTGTCTGGCGTCTTTACTGGCCTGACCTTGGGCTTTGCCTTGTCTTGTACATATGTGAGCTTGGCAACCTGTACTGTAGCTCGGGCAGCACTCAGCTTCTCCATTTCTTTAGCCTTCTCATATTTCAATATAGAACTTGGGTATTCTCCTGGAATGGATATTTATATTCTTCAGTTTCACAGAGTGGTTGACTTTTTCGCTTTAACTTTTTCCTTTCTAGACTTGACACCATGATTTCAAAAAAACATTGATTTTTTAAAAATAGACTTTATTTTTTAGAGCAGTTTTAGGTTCACAGCAAAACTGAGTGGAAGATACGGAAATTTCCCGTATAGCCCCCGTCACATGCACAACCTCACCCATTATCAGCATCACCCACCAGAATGGTATATTCTGCAGGAATAAATGGATGCTAATTGAAGAGTCCTCCTCAGACAGGAGGGTGGAGATGAAAATGCACAGTTTAAATTGGGAGTTAACCCGGTACAAACTGTTAACAGTAATCTCCTAGTGATGGGATTTTGGCTAATTTTAGTTTTCTTATTAGTGCATAAAACTGCCAAAGTCTTTGCACGCCATATATGTATTCACATTTTTTTCAAATTATAGAAGGATTCTAAGAAGAAAACTGATACTAAAAATATTAAGGAGCATTAGTCATAACACTTTTAAGCCGAAACTGAGCCTATGAATAATTTACCTAAAAGTCTTACATTTTATAACTGAGGCACCAGAGCTAATTGGGGGCGCAACTGGGGCCGCAGTGCATCCCGCTTCAGTCTCAGGCAGAAACTCTTCAGTAGCCTGTAGACAGCAGGCCCCGTAGCAAAGGGCGTGTCAATCAGCTGGGCAGCGCCCACGCAGCTCTGCTTTCCGTCACGGTGAGTGGGGTGCACAGAGCGCGAGCATTGCACCACGCTGCACCCACAGCCTTTCCCACCACGAGCCGAGCCCCCAGTCTGATGCACTAAATGTGGATTGAACTGATACCTGAATCTAGCCTTTCCTCCCGAAAATGGCAACAGGTTGGGGTATGAAATCAGGCCTGGTCTTGCATTGGAGAGTTATAACTGTATTGTTTTCTAGAGTACCTGACTTATGATATATACCACAGTACTTTTCCATAAAAATCTGATTAAATAATATTAAAATATTTTTGATGAGGAAATGCTGGGTAGCACTAAGCCAGCACCTTAACTTAATATTTCATTTGTATGCTATAAAAATTATTATTCAGCATTTTATAATAAGGAAAAGAATATTCTCTTTTTTATTATTTTAATTTTTTGCCTTTTCATGTCTCTCTTACAAGCCCTAGGTTCTTTTCATACTTAACTAATCAGAATTAATAACCTTTTAGTACTCCGAAATGTCTTACTTAGCACACATTTTCCAAGAATTATTACAGAGAGTGAAAACTTAGATTTATTGTATGGAGCACTGGGCTAAGCGTTTTACATGTATTGATTTGTTTAATCTTCACAGGAACCTTAGGAAATAGATCAGTTTTTTTCAAACTTTCTTTTGTCTGCAACACATGCTAATGCATTTGATGTCAAGATCCAGTAATGGACCTCTCTGATAAAAGTTTCCTCAATATTAACACTGCACTGTACTCATTTTTGTTTTCTTCTCTTTTTTTAATGTTGGTTCCTATCCACTAACCAATTCATAACCCACTAGCAGATCGCAGCTCTCATGAAAAATACTGAGGCGTGCTATTTATTGTCCCCATTTTACAGATGAGAAAGCTGACAGTTTGAGTAAACTACGCATGTCACAGGTGGCGAGTGGCAGAGCTGGATTTGCACAGGGAGCTTGGGCTCTTACTCGGTTTACTAAACTGAATTGTACAGCAATATCATTTCCAGAATAAATTGGACCTCAGGATCACCTCCATCTTGCTTCTGTGATGAGGAGAAAAAAATGTTTATAATACAAATACACCCCCTCAACTGTGTCCTCCACGTGCCAAAAAGAAGTTGAGTTGCTCAGCTGAAGACAGGGAGAGAGACAGGGGACCCTGAAGATGTGGGAATAGGGAACAGGGATCTTCTGGGGGACTTTGAGAACTTGGGGGTGAGGCAGAAATGTTTAATAGGGATTTTTCATTAAGTAATGTTGAGGAAAAGCTCCTTTCAAAATTCTCAGTAAAATTACCCATTCACTGATCCTTGAAATGTGGACTTGATATTGGAGGTTTAAGTCAAGCCCCAAGGTTGAAACCAGGTCAGAGCAGAGGCTGCCTGCTGAGGCCAGCACGTCTGGGTGACAGTTCAGGGAAGAAGTGCCGTGCGTTCCACCCGTTGTGTTCAGGGCAGTGTCCTGGGCAGAAGGCATACAAAGATAATTAGGATCTACCAAACACATTTTCTGTGAATATTGACCTTAGAAAAGCATCTCATAGACCTGTGTTGTGGGAAGAAGCTTGAGTCGTTATACATCTGAGTTTTGTAACCTGGGAAGTTCATTGATATTCTAGTAGACGTGAAGCTCCGTGAGGGCACACGTGTGTGTGTGTGTGTGTGTGTGTGTGTGTGTGTCTGTGTGTGTCTGTCTTGTCTGCCACTCACTGTACCCCAGCTGCCTCGCACAACACCTGGTACATCGTAGACACTCAGCATTTGTTTATCGATCATTGGCTAATAGCCGAGTAACTCTTGTAGTATTTAAGAACTCAGGTCAGAGAGTCAGGTTATTTACATCAGCCATGAAAGTGTAATAAAAATGTAACACTTCAGTTGGAGAAACTTGCTTATCAAGTGACATCCCTGAGCATAGTACACTGTGTTACTGAAGCCAGTTTCCTTTGCCCTGTGATTTGCTTGTGACAATGTTGACCAGTCATCTGTAACACTCGTGTTCTTTTCCACTGGACTGAATGACATTGCAATGTCTAATTCCTTAGCCCTAAGGAAGTAAAAGGAGAAAAAGTCTTGTCTCCTCCTTCCATTCTTTCAAACCAGTAGACATCCACCAAGCAGCTGTGATTTGAAAGAAACCCTGTGCCCACCTGAGAAGGACCAGTCCCTCCCTGCCTGTTAGAGAAGCTCGGGCTGGCATGTCAGCTCACACTTACACACGCCCAAGTGCAGGCATCTAATAGCATGTAGCAGGAGGAAGCAGAGAGGCTTGGAAGCAAATAAGTAATCCAAGCAGAAAACATTAATTTAAGACTAGAGGTTGCTCTTTCATAGCTAAGGGAGTGGCAGGGGGGCTGGGAGGAAGAAGGGATAAATACTGTGTATTGGAGATGGGCAGCAGGAGAGAGGATATTATGTGGATCAACTACTTATTTGCCTAAGTTTCACCTCAAAATATAGAGCGACAAAGTAGTCAAGAGGAGGCAACGTGTGTAAGTTTGGCATTGTTACCAGGTAGCAATACACCGTTGTATTATGTGGGCCATTGTGCCAGATATCTGCACACTCTTGAGTGAATAACAATTATTTTGCATTATAATACGGGGCCTGATAATTGATACACTTGCTATGTCTGTAGTCCCTGTTTCTTTTCATTTGTTTTCCTATTTCAAGAATGTTTTCTTTGCTATACAGAAGTCCTAGTAAGAGAGCAGTTACAGTCTCCCCCTGCTGGATGGGACTTGTAGGACCTGAAAATTCAGGCTCCTTGGCTTGAGGATTCATTTACCTCAACTTTCAACTTTTAAATCTTCTTCCCCACAGCCTCACTGAGCAGCCTTTTGATCACTCCTTTCCCATCTCCAAGCTCCTCTACATCTTCTTCCAGCAGCTACCAGCGCCGCTGGCTGCGAAGTCAGACCACCAGTTTGGAGAACGGCATCATTCCCAGGAGGTGAGCTGCACATTTCCTCTCGCTGAGAAGGGCACTGGTGTCGGCAGCACCCCGAGACGGGCAGGACTGTGCTCAGCTGTTGTCAGGGGGAAAGGGAGCTGAAGCATTTTGATCAGCTTCAGTTCAGCCTGAGAGTTCACAGGTTAGAAGTTTCCTGGAAAGGTTAAATAAAAACTAAAAAAAACCAAACCTGGTTTGGAAGACACTGGGAAACATTCAGATAGTTGTGCCATGAGTGAGGTAGATTTGGTGATACTTTAAAGTGAGTGGTAAGCTCTCTCTTAACCGGCACCTTCCAGATGTGGCTCTCATGAGTTAGAAGGGTGGAGTAAAGCTCTTCCTTGGCTTACAGTGACACCAGTGTGGTTGTGTAAATATAGGAACTCAAGGATTGTGACATACTCTCTTTGTAAAACTTAAATTCTTAAACAAAACAGTCATGAGTCAGATTATAAATGAGATGGCAGCGAGGTATTTTCTATTGGTTTTTTTTTCAATTGGTTTTTAGATCTAAAGTTCAGTTGTGTGTAAAATGTACATTTTGGCGTCATGATGATGTTAACATCAGTAGCTTTCAACCATTTGTTTCTACAATACAAAAAGCTTTAAGAGAATTAAGATAGGTTATACCTATAAAAATTCACATGTAAATTGGTTGATTTAGTAAATTGACTAGTAATCACCATGTGTAGGGATCTGTGAAGGTATAAAGATGATTCAGCTACCTGCCTACAATTAAGTAGTTTCCAGGTATATACCATAAGTAGTGGTATAAAATGTTCAATGATCAGTGCTGTAGAGAAGCACCAAGTGCCTTGGGACCCAGAGAAGGGAGAGCACTCTTTCTGGTGGTCCTAGGGGGAATCGGGGAGCTGTTCACGGAAGAGATGGTACTGAAAGGACGCGCTGAGGAGCAAGAGATCAAGGTGTGTGTGTAGCACATCAGGCTGCTGGCCTGCCTTCTCCCATGCTCTCACAGCCCTGGGAGCAAACAAAAGAAAAACGATAGCTGCGTCACTGAGGAACCGTCTTTTGGTTGGTGGACCTGAAGCGGAATGGTTAAGAGCTTGGGATTTGGTGTGGCAACAAGTCCTAGCTGTGCCACTCACTAGGTGAATGTAAGAAAAGTTAACCTGGATTCTAAGTGTCACTTCCTCATCTGCAGTATAATTGTACCAGCTTCACAGCATTGTTGAGAGAGTTAAATGAGATAACAGCAAGTCAAGTCAGACCAGGATGGGATACAGTACATAAAAAATATAGGCCAATATGATTTCTGTACTGTTATTATCCTATTGCAGCTATCAGGAGAAGGTGTTCTGTCATCCTCACTGTCATTACAGGGTCTTCAGTGATTGGAAGAAATAGATGGGCCTTACAAGCCTTCCCCATTAGGTATCTTCCCTTTACTAAAACTGCTTTTCCATCCCTTCAGGTTTGAATCCAAAGTTGAATATCATTCCTCAACCCAGTCCTTCGAAATCCTTCAAAAACTCTAATCTGAATTGAGAACTGGCATTGGGAACTAATGAATTGCTAGTGAACATACACCTAAAATAAGTATCTTATGCTCAAAAATAAAAATGCAGGGCCCCTTGTTCAAAAAGCAGGAAAAAGTGCTATTAAAGGGTACTAAGTATAAAATGTAAAGTTTTTCCTTTAAAAATACTCGAGTGGCACGTTGGTTAAGAGCTGGCTTGGGACACCAGAGGGCCCTGGTTCGGATCCCACATATGAGGGCCAGTGACACTGCCCTCCACAGCTAAGATGCTGAACAACAGCTCAACCTGGAGCTGGACTGCCGTGAGTCGCTGGCGACAGCGTAGGCTGCAGCCCCTGCTACAGTGGGTTGCCATGGGCTACCGTGTATAGCCAGCAGCCAGTGTGAGTGGCCAGCAGCCGCCGTGAGCGGCCAGAAGCCGGCGACTGATCTGCCTCGCCCGGGAAGAGCGCAATGATGGTGCCAACTTGGGCCAGTGAAGCAACATCCTCCACAACTAGACTGAAGAACAAAAGGAGAGCAACTTGTCTGTTCCCCTACCCCCAATTCCCCAATAAAAATCTTAAAAAAACAACAACAACAACAAAAAGTTTTACTTACAAAATGTGATAGGAATAATAGTGACACGTGAACAATAACAAATTTATAAATTGCAAAAAGTAATACTTTGGTGTCATAATTTTATGTAATATAATAATAATGTGATACCTTGATTCATCATAAGATTTTTCTGGGTTTTCTGCAGATTCATCAAAATTTATACATCAATCGATATAACTGAAAGCGGCATTACTAGCTCCTAAAAATTGCAAGATGGCAAATATTTTTTTTTTTTAAGATTTTTATTGGGGAATTGGGGAAGGGGAACAGCCAAGTTGTTGTCCTTCAATCTTACTTGTGGAGGGCGAAGCAAGCTCAGCTCCAAGTCCAGTTGCCATCTGGCTGCCCATTGGCAGCTCGTGGCCGCTCAGCTCAAGGTACCACGTTCAATCTTAGTTGCTGGTGGGCATTTATAGCAAATATTTTTGATAATTTTTTTATTTTGAGAAAGAGCTTTCTGCTGATGCAACCATTACTGAGGCTTTGTAGGTTAAGACAACATTGAGGTACATTTCTAATAAACTTTAAAAATGTAAATCTTCGTGTATCTAGATGATTCTTGTAGAACAGTTTTTCTAGAAAGATTTAATTCTTCACATAAATCCATTTTGTGTAAGTCTGAATTTAATTTTAGATGTAAATTTATACAAAGTTATTTTAATGTTTCCTGACATTTCTTGTAACTTATGGAGCTCTTACAAGAAACTGGAAATGTCTTCATGAGTTGATTTACGATGTTGCTGCAGTTTTCTAAACCAGAGATTATAAAGTCTTTGAAGAATTTCAGTAACTCCCTTATTTGCTTTATTGCAGTGTCCACTGTAGGCTCTCACTTTGTGATTACTTACCGTCCTGGGGTTCAGGTCAGAGAGTTAAATATTTGTGCAGATTCCACAGGGATGGACTCTGATGATGGATGGACAAGCTGTCCTCCCACCATGGGTCACGGCCCTGCCTAAGCCCTTCCTCTCTCCCAGGCCATGACCGTTGCTGCTTCTGCTGCTGCCACTGTCATAGCCACCAGTCTGGGCCCAGGTCCCAGCCTTGCTGCCCTGGGCCTTGTGACAACCCTGATGTGGGTGTGTACCTGACTGCCAGGCCAGCTGTTCAGTGTCTGGGCTGTGTGCCCTCGAGCCTGCCCCACTGTGCACTCTGCTGCCTGGTATCTTTACTGCTCACACACACATGCTTCACTGTCCCATCAGACTTCACTTATGCATTCAAAGATAAAATTAGTAAGAATTCAAGGTAGTAACCGCAGAGCATTAAACCAAACCTGGGATCCTTCTGAGAGCAGGGCTCTGTGTGAGCTGGCCCTGGTTTCTGTACTGTTTAATCCTGAGAATGGAAGTGCAGAGGACATTTTGAATTGATCCCTGTGCCTGTGAAGCCCCTTCATTTAAAGGATGTTGCAGTTGATCGCTCCCTCTTGGCAGGAGTGTGCGTTAGAAAATTGCTAGACAGGAGAACAGCAGGCACCAAAAATATGATTTTCTCTGGCTTTGAGAGAAAATTCTCAGAGGTCGAAAACTTTCTTCCTAAGAGTTGAAGGTAGTCAGGGAAGATATTCACCATCCTTAACCGAATTTTATTTGCAATGTTATGTTCCATGCTGACCCCCATACCACAAGGCCCCCTGCTGTGCCAGGCAGTAACCTTTGGTTCCTGGATGGGGAGTCAGGCTCGGGCACTTAGCAGCTAGTACGGAAGTACTGCCTGTAGTGGGAGAGAAGCTGCAGAGATTTCATCCCATAATGAGGCCATTGAAACCCTAAGGAGCAAGGGCTAGGGTCTCAGAAAAGCTTTCGAACGGAATTATTAAATTGAACCAACCATATAAAGTTGCCAATGGGATGTTCTCTGACCTCAGAAATGGCGATTTCATATATTTCATTGTTTTCGTAGATTCCACATAAGTTCAAAGCTGACATACGCAGTTAGACTAAGCAGTCCTGATATCTAGTATTGGTCATTGAGATGTACTGAAATAATCATTTCAGTAAATAATCGTTATTTATGATCTTGAAGTATTCATAAATGTCTATTCATCAGTGTCAACAAAATTCTACTTGATTTTTTATAAGGAGAAAAATTAAGTGGGTGGACGGTCTTCTCTCGACTTGAAAGCCTGTTAGCTGACATGTTTGCTCCACTCCTCCCCCTCTGTGCTCCAGCTGGCACGATGCATCTGATGACGAACACCAGCAGACGGATGGTTCATCGGGACCGAGTCCCTGGTCATTTCCAGGGGCCAAGAAATGAGCCTAGACTATGAGAGAGAAACCCTGAGTTCTAATCCAGTGTTGTCACTAGGATGTTTTCTGTTCCTGAAGCAAGTTGATTAATCATTCTGACTCAGTTTCTACATTTGCAAAATGGTCTGTGGTACCTTACCTGTAGGTGACTTAAGGGTAAAGATAAGATGGAGTATTTGGGTTTATACCTGACGTTTTTGAAACCTCTAAAACCTTTCATTGTGGAATAATTTTAAAAGTATGATTACAGTACCACATGCCCCGATTTATTCCAGTTTGCATGGTTGACCCAAGATAACAGAATGGAGCTCAGTTGTTTTAGAATTCAGTAGAGAGATATAATGAAGTAAGAGCTATCTACACTATTATAGCCATGGAAGTTTTTCAGAAATTCAGTAGGTGGCACTCTCTGCTATGTCAAAGTGGAGTTGGTTGTTGCTTATAAGGGTAGAGAGGAAGATGATGCATAAATCTGCATAGGGCTCAGTGTTTATTGCAGTCTGATTTCAAATTAAAGACTGCATTGGCCAAAGATAAGTGGACCTATATGGTCATTTTACTTACGGAAAAGAAGGGAAAGAGGAGATAACAAGAAAGGGTTGCAGGACAAGTATTGGTATCAGATAAGCTCAGAATTTCCTGTACAGAATGGAAATAAATGAACCGGTGCAGGAAAACAAAGTTATAGTACAGGTACTTTGGAAAAGAGGAGGGAGCACTATATGAAATGAAGTAAAATTCTAAGAGAGCCTCAAGAATTTTTTTCTGATGAGCAGATGATTAGGATCTAGGAATCTCTCAGAGAAAACAGTTGAAGGTTATTAATGCATAGCATTGACAACACCACCTGGAGACCTCGTCCTTCCAGTGGCGTGTCTGTTAGTGAGAGCCTCTTAGTGATGTATCAACCACACCTACATCTCCGGGATCTTGCTTGAAGTCGAGAGAAACAATAACATATGTCTCTGAGGTTAGAACAAGAGCTCTGTCTCCTTTCCTTCAAAAATTAAATAGCTCTCCTGACCATTAAATTTTAATGTATGTCAATAGGTTTTTAAAATGTGGATGTGTTTCAACTCATAGGCACGTGATAGACGGTGAGGAGAGCACTAAATAAAGCATTGAAGACCAAGCTAGGAGGCTAATTGCCTCAAGTTCTGCCATTGTAAGTGATTGTCATGTTGTAATTTGTAGTACAGAAAATGGAGGAAGTCGTAGCTTCCCGTGTTTGGCGGAGATAACGAGATTAAATGGTGGAGTTCATGAGAAAGCGAAAGCTTATTGCATAACTCTCATGTGCCAGGCTAGGCACTTTCATTTGCAGTGTTATGTCCTCTGCTTTGATTTCTTTGTAGAAGAAAAACAGGTCTTTAATTTTCACTCTTGCTGTTGGTAGCTATGTGGTTAACTTATGCTGGTTTTTCAGAATAGTTAAATAAGAGACATGGTCGGGCCATATTTGTGAGGCAAACTTCTTAAAACAAGTTGAATATGTATTCAGAATTTCTTGGTGTCATGATTTGCTTATCGTAGAAGTAGCCTCGTGAAAGAATCTTAAGTGTTTTGAGGATTTAACTAATACCAGAAGAGGTGGGTCTTTCTGCTTGGAGGATGTCCCAGAGAGCTTCGTCAGCCGCAGGGCTTAATCTGAGCATTTACAGGAATCGCTTCATCTAATGGAAATAGCCTTGGGAAAGTGAGCCTCAGCTACCAGTTAGCATCCAGAATGCCCTTGGTTAAGCGGATACCACACAGCCTCCTTTCTCTTCCTGCATTATCATCTATTGGTGTCTGTCAACCAGAACAGATGTTTCACACCGCTTCCTAAATACCACCAATCTGCAAAATAGCCCAAGGGAAAGGGACAAAGAGTCTAGCAAGGGGACATTTGACATTACTTTCAGTTTTCATTTGTTTCTTTTCAGGTTAGGATAATACTGTGTGACAAGCTGATATTTTTGTTTTTCATGACAGAATTACAGAGGAGAAAGAACTAGAAGTAGAGAAACTCTTCTTAGCTAAGACTCCGAGTGTTTTGGATTGGCTGCATGTCGTGGCGCCCCCCCCCCCATTAGTTTATCTTCTGTGTGATGCACTGATGCAGCTCTCAAAACTCACTTTTCCTCCAGGTCAACTGATGAGACGTTCAGCTTGGCTGAAGAAACCTGCAGTTCTAACCCTGCCCTCGTCCGGAGAAAGAAAATCGCCATAAGCATCATCTTCTCCCTGTGCGAGAAAGAGGAAGCCCAGAGGGATTTCCAGGACTTCTTTTTTTCCCATTTCCCTCTGTTTGAGTCGCACATGAACAGACTGAAGAGTGCAATCGAAAAGGTAATCCAGTGTCACATAGCGATGTGATTGTGGGGCTTTAAAGATGGTCGAATCTCTCTGTCTAGGCATCAGATCACTTTCCCGGAGAGCATAAGCCATCTGCAGCTGGAGGAAGGCGGGG